CGGTGGGATTCATGGACGCAGTAACGACGGCTCGTACTCGCTGGTGCTCGCTGGAGGATTCGAGGATGAAGTTGTGAGTGTTTCTTCAATTCAGATCAGCATTAACCCTATAAAACCTACTGTATCATATTTAATAATCAGCATGATCAATCTTTGCTGTTAAACCTGTTTCACACTCTCACACAATCTTCTCCACGTCTTCTGTCTCTGATTGATAGAGTTTTTTATCCAGTCAAAGCTCTTTCAGTATAATTGTACAAACGTCCAGCTTCAGCTGGAGCTTCTCGTGTCAAATCTTGACTGGTTTTTATCAAGTAAAGGTCAGAATAACTGCAGTAATATCTCCAGATGAACTCTTACTGGACTGAAGCAGCTCAGCTTTACTTGATTCTCCATCAATCATGTTTTAGAGTCTCAAATCTGATCCTCAGGATCTTTTGAGGAGCGTTTGTTTCCAGAAGCTTTACTTTCACTGTTCCTCAGCGGAGGAATGATCTTCACAAGCCTCCAGAACATCTCACATCTTCTGAGGAGCCTTTATTTCTTCAGCTCTCAATCACTGCATTATATGTTTGGAGCATTTCAATCTCATCTCACTGAGACAGACTACTTACTGGAGATATAGAGCGACCGCTGAGATTTAGATCATTTTATGTCAGTATCTGCTCTACTGTTATAAAGATCTCACTGATTTACATTACAAGCAGCAGAATTTCATTACATAAATATCAGCATCTGCAGCAAATTCATATTTTTGCTCAGTTTGAGTCTCTGAATAAATTTGAGCTTCATATTCTCACTCTATCAGACTATATGAGCCACAAAAGCCTGACGAGTCAAATATATTTAACAAAAAAACACATATGCAATTTTTTATTTTATTTTATAAAAATATTCTCTCTTTGAAAGCTTGTTTCTGCCACAGAATAAAAAAAAAATTAAAAAAAAGGTAATTGCATCTTTATCTCACGATCTGAATTTTTTTTCTCAGAATTGTGAGATAAAAAGTGGCAATAACCTTTTTAATTTTTTTATTCTGTGGTGGAAACAAAAAAAAGAGAATTGCAAAGAAGAAAAGTCAAAATTGCAAAAGATGTAAACTCATATTTAGATATAAACTAAATTCAGAGAAGATGAGTAAATTTTGAATTTTGTCTGTTATTTCATATGTGTGTGTTGGTGTGGTTTCAGGACCGGGGTGATGAGTTCACCTACACCGGCAGCGGAGGTCGCGACCTTTCAGGAAACAAGCGTATCGGCGAACACTCGTTCGATCAGACGCTCACACACATGAACAGGTGATCCTGCAGCGTCACACGTCTCAGTGCATATAAATTGTGGCTGCATGTGCTCCTTCTTGACCTCTGACCTCTCAGGGCTCTGGCACTCAACTGTGACGCGCCTCTGAATGACAAGGACGGGGCGGAGTCTCGCAACTGGAGGGCGGGAAAACCAGTGAGAGTGATTCGCAGCTCGAAGGGCCGACGGATCAGCAAATACGCACCGGAGGAGGGAAACCGCTACGACGGCATTTATAAGGTACACACACACACATTCACACACACAGACACACTCGCAAACAAACACACACACACACACACACACACACAC